AACTATGAATGTATTTAAATTTTTGGTCTCCCTGGTTGGTGGAGCATAATACTCTGGTGTTGCTCGAACTGAGAGGTAGGTGACAATAAATGAAAGGTTGCATGTCAGCCTGGCTAGCTCAGTCAGTAGAGCATGAGACTCTTGGGTCGTGGTTTCGAGCCCCACGTTGGGCGCATAATGTTTTCATCACTTTCTACAATTTCAATTCACTGAAAACTTTTCGATCAATGGACAAAAGCATAGATCGTCCCTGTGTGGGCTTGAACCACCAACCTTTCAGTTAACAGCCGAACGCGCTAACCGATTGCGCCACAGAGACAACTATGAATTTAATTATTTTTTTGGTCTGCCTGGTTAGCTCGGTTGGTGGAGCATAAATCTCTGGAGTTGCTCGAACTTAGAGGTAGGTGACAATAAATGAAAGGTTGCATATCAGCCTGGCTAGCTCAGTCGGTAGAGCATGAGACTCTTAATTTCAGGGTCGTTTGTTTCTAGCCTCACGTTGGGCGCACAATGTTTTCATCACTTTCTACAATTTCAATTCACTCAAAACTTTTCGATCAATGGACGAAAGCATAGATCGTCCCTGGGTGGGCCTTGAACCACCAACCTTTCAGTTAACAGCCGAACGCGCTAACCGATTGCGCCACAGAGACAACTATGAATTTATTTAATTTTTGGTCTGCCTGGTTAGCTCTGTCGGTGGAGCATACGTCTCTGGAGTTGCTCGAACTGAGAGGTAGGTGACAATAAATGAAAGGTTGCATGTCAGCCTGGCTAGCTCAGTCGGTAGAGCATGAGACTCTTAATCTCAGGGTTGTGGGTTCGAGCCCCACGTTGGGCGCATAATGTTTTCATCACTTTCTACAATTTCAATTCACTCAAAACTTTTCGATCAATGGACAAAAGCATAGATCGTCCCTGGGTGGGCTTGAACCACCAACCTTTCAGTTAACAGCCGAACGCGCTAACCGATTGCGCCACAGAGACAACTATGAATTTATTTAATTTTTTGGTCTGCCTGGTTAGCTCAGTCGGTGGAGCATAAGTCTCTGGAGTTGCTCGAACTGAGAGGTAGGTGACAATAAATGAAAGGTTGCATGTCAGCCTGGCTAGCTCAGTCGGTAGAGCATGAGACTCTAATCTCAGGGTCGTGGGTTCGAGCCCACGTTGGGCGCATAATGTTTTCATCACTTTCTACAATTTCAATTCACTCAAAACTTTTCGATCAATGGACAAAAGCATAGATCGTCCCTGGGTGGGCTTGAACCACCAACCTTTCAGTTAACAGCCGAACGCGCTAACCGATTGCGCCACAGAGACATCTATGAATGTAATTAAATTTTTGGTCTCCCTGGCTCAGTGGTGGAGCATAAGACTCTGGTGTTGCTCGAACTGAGAGGTAGGTGACAATAAATGAAAGGTTGCATGTCAGCCTGGCTAGCTCAGTCGGTAGAGCATGAGACTCTTAATCTCAGGGTCGTGGGTTCGAGCCTCACGTCGGGCGCATAATGTTTCATCACTTTCTACAATTTCAATTCACTCAAAACTTTTCGATCAATGGAGAAAAGCATAAATCGTCCCTGGGTGGGCTTGAACCACCAACCTTTCAGTTAACAGCCAAACGCGCTAACCGATTGTGCCACAGAGACAACTATGAATTTATTTAATTTTTTGGTCTGCCTGGTTAGCTCAGTCGGTGGAGCATAAGTCTCTGGAGTTGCTCAAACTGAGAGGTAGGTGACAATAAATGAAAGGTTGCATGTCAGCCTGGCTAGCTCAGTCGGTAGAGCATGAGACTCTTGGGTCGTGGTTTCGAGCCCCACGTTGGGCGCATAATATTTTCATCACTTTCTACAATTTCAATTCACTCAAAACTTTTCGATCAATGGACAAAAGCATAGATCGTCCCTGGGTGGGCTTGAACCACCAACCTTTCAGTTAACAGCCGAACGCGCTAACCGATTGCGCCACAGAGACAACTATGAATTTATTTAATTTTTTGGTCTGCCTGGTTAGCTCAGTCGGTGGAGCATAAGTCTCTGGAGTTGCTCGAACTGAGAGGTAGGTGACAATAAATGAAAGGTTGCATGTCAGCCTGGCTAGCTCAGTCGGTAGAGCATGAGACTCTTAATCTCAGGGTCGTGGGTTCGAGCCCACGTTGGGCGCATAATGTTTTCATCACTTTCTACAATTTCAATTCACTCAAAACTTTTCGATCAATGGACAAAAGCATAGATCGTCCCTGGGTGGGCTTGAACCACCAACCTTTCAGTTAACAGCCGAACGCGCTAACCGATTGCGCCACAGAGACAACTATGAATTTATTTAATTTTTTGGTCTGCCTGGTTAGCTCAGTCGGTGGAGCATAAGTCTCTGGAGTTGCTCGAACTGAGAGGTAGGTGACAATAAATGAAAGGTTGCATGTCAGCCTGGCTAGCTCAGTCGGTAGAGCATGAGACTCTTAATCTCAGGGTCGTGGGTTCGAGCCCCACGTTGGGCGCATAATGTTTTCATCACTTTCTACAATTTCAATTCACTCAAAACTTTTCGATCAATGGACAAAAGCATATATCGTCCCTGGGTGGGCTTGAACCACCAACCTTTCAGTTAACAGCCGAACGCGCTAACCGATTGCGCCACAGAGACAACTATGAATTTATTAATTTTTTGGTCTGCCTGGTTAGCTCAGTCGGTGGAGTTGCATAAGTCAGTCTGAGAGTTGCTCTTTTCATTCACTTTCTACAATTTCAATTCACTCAAAACTTTTCGATCAATGGACAAAAGCATAGATCGTCCCTGGGTGGGCTTGAACCACCAACCTTTCAGTTAACAGCCGAACGCGCTAACCGATTGCGCCACAGAGACAACTATGAATTTATTTAATTTTTTTGTCTGCCTGGTTAGCTCAGTCGGTGGAGCATAAGTCTCTGGAGTTGCTCGAACTGAGAGGTAGGTGACAATAAATGAAAGGTTGCATGTCAGCCTGGCTAGCTCAGTCGGTAGAGCATGAGACTCTTAATCTCAGGGTCGTGGGTTTGAGCCCCACGTTGGGCGCATATTGTTTTCATCACTTTCTACAATTTCAATTCACTCAAAACTTTTCGATCAATGGACAAAAGCATAATCGTCCCTGGGTGGGCTTGAACCACCAACCTTTCAGTTAACAGCCGAACGCGCTAACCGATTGCGCCACAGAGACATCTATGAATTATTTAATTTTTTGGTCTCCCTGGTTGGTGGAGCATAAGACTCTGGTGTTGCTCGAACTGAGAGGTAGGTGACAATAATTGAAAGGTTGCATGTCAGCCTGGCTAGCTCAGTCGGTAGAGTATGAGACTCTTAATCTCAGGGTCATGGGTTTGAGCACCACGTCGGGCGCATAATGTTTTCATCACTTTCTACAATTTCAATTCACTGAAAACTTTTCGATCAATGGACAAAAGCATAGATCGTCCCTGGGTGGGCTTGAACCACCAACCTTTCAGTTAACAGCCGAACGCGCTAACCGATTGCGCCACAGAGACAACTATGAAGTTATTTAATTTTTTGGTCTGCCTGGTTAGCTCAGTCGGTGGAGCATAAGTCTCTGGAGTTGCTCGAACTGAGAGGTAGGTGACAATAAATGAAAGGTTGCATGTCAGCCTGGCTAGCTCAGTCGGTAGAGCATGAGACTCTTGGTCGTGGGTTCGAGCCCCACGTTGGGCGCATAATGTTTTCATCACTTTCTACAATTTCAATTCACTCAAAACTTTTCGATCAATGGACAAAAGCATATATCGTCCCTGGGTGGGCTTGAACCACCAACCTTTCAGTTAACAGCCGAACGCGCTAGCCGATTGCGCCACAGAGACAACTATGAATTTATTTAATTTTTTGGTCTGCCTGGTTAGCTCAGTCGGTGGAGCATAAGTCTCTGGAGTTGCTCGAACTGAGAGGTAGGTGACAATAAATGAAAGGTTGCATGTCAGCCTGGCTAGCTCAGTCGGTAGAGCATGAGACTCTTGGGTCGTGGGTTCGAGCCCCACGTTGGGCGCATATGTTTTCATCACTTTCTACAATTTCAATTCACTCAAAACTTTTCGATCAATGGAGAAAAGCATAAATCGTCCCTGGGTGGGCTTGTACCACCAACCTTTCAGTTAACAGCCGAACGCACTAACCGATTACGCCACAGAGACAACTATGAATTTATTTAAATTTTTGTCTCCCTGGTTGGTGGAGCATAAGACTCTGGTGTTGCTCGAACTGAGAGGTGGTGACAATAATTGAAAGGTTGCATGTCAGCCTGGCTAGCTCAGTCGGTAGAGTATGAGACTCTTTGGTCGTGGGTTTGAGCCCCACGTCGGGCGCATAATGTTTTCATCACTTTGTACAATTTCAATTCACTCAAAACTTTTCGATCAATGGACAAAAGCATAGATCGTCCCTGGGTGGGCTTAAACCACCAACCTTTCAATTAACAGCCGAACACGCTAACCGATTGCCACAGAGACAACTATGAATTTATTTAATTTTTTGGTCTGCCTGGTTAGCTCAGTCGGTGGAGCATAAGTCTCTGGAGTTGCTCAAACTGAGAGGTAGGTGACAATAAATGAAAGGTTGCATGTCAGCCTGGCTAGCTCAGTCGGTAGAGCATGAGACTCTTAATCTCAGGGTCGTGGGTTCGAGCCCCACGTTGGGCGCATATTGTTTTCATCACTTTCTACAATTTCAATTCACTCAAAACTTTTCGATCAATGGAGAAAAGCATAATCGTCCCTGGGTGGGCTTGAACCACCAACCTTTCAGTTAACAGCCGAACGCGCTAACCGATTGCGCCACAGAGACAACTATGAATTTAATAAATTTTTTGGTCTGCCTGGTTAGCTCAGTCGGTGGAGCATAAGTCTCTGGAGTTGCTCGAACTGAGAGGTAGGTGACAATAATTGAAAGGTTGCATGTCAGCCTGGCTAGCTCAGTCGGTAGAGCATGAGACTCTTGGGTCGTGGTTTCGAGCC